TATGATGAGTTCTATGCTTAAAAAAGTAAGAAACCTCAGCTTTTACGGAGAAAAGTTCAGACTCAGACCTGGTATCTAAAAGGCTTATCCTCCTTAACCTGCCAAAAATATCTCATTAGTCAGTTTTCCCGTATTGCTCTGGTAACCACTTGTTGTTTGTGGACTAAAGGGCTTCCTCAGGATCTGGGTTTGTCCAAAGACTGGGAGCAGAGCGTTGCTTGCTGTGGGAATGAGGAGAGGGCATTCAGTGGGAGCGGGCCAAGGTCCAAGGTGCTCACCTGAGCCCTGGCTGCAAACATTAGCAGAAGGACAGGTGTGTAATCACCTGGTTGAATAACGAGGCGCTGGTGAAGTGTTTGGCTTTCAGCTCCCGCAGGCACCTGGGGCTCCTTCCAAGCCTTGTTGTGTTGGAAAGGCAGGAAGGGGCGCCGCGTTCCTGCAGAGCCCTTGGCTGCCTCGCGGCAAACCCGGTTCCTGATGCCCGGGCATTCTTTGATTGATGCACAGATCAAGTGACTGCTGGGAGTGGCTTTCGGGGTGACGTCCCACCTACAGTGATGTCAGCAAAAGATTTTAAAAAATTTAGGTGTGGCATAATCTGCCAATTAAACTGATTAGTGCTCTGGCTGAGCCCTGAGAAGGAGCTCTGGCTCTCCAGCCCTGCTTATTTGAAGGATTTTATTTAGTGCCTTCGTCTTGCCTCGTATGAGACTTTTACCCGCCTGACAAATGTCCCCAAGTGCTCGGAAGCCGTGACACGGGAAGAGGTGCTGCGACTCCCGTGGGATCGGGATGGAGTGCCTGGCTGCTCTGCTGGCAGAAGTCAAAGCCAGCCAGGAGGCCATGCAGGCTGGACAGAAGGAGCTAAAGCATGACGTGGAAACATCTCAGAAGGAAATCAGAACAGTGTTAGCGCTGCAGAGGAGCCAGCAGCAGGTGAAAGAAGATCTCAAAGCGGAGGTGAAGTCCAGCCACTTGGATATAAGGGCTGTGCTTGAGGAAATCCAGCGAGTAAGACAAGAAATGGAAGCTCGATTAAATACTCAGGCCGATCTGGTCTTGCTGATCAAAGAAGTGAGCACCAATTTAACGTGTGTAGACAAGGCTTTCCAGAAAATGGAGGAGAGGCAGAAAGTTTTTACCAGCCTGCATCTTCCTGCGAGAGAAAACGTTGAGCAAGGCTTTTTCTTTGAAAAGTGCTTACACAAGACACACACGGGTTTTGAGAGACCTGTGGAAGCTAACAGTTTGGATGAGGAATGTGAAAAGAAGGTGCTTAGGGGTAAGAGAACGGTGACTGCAAAGGTGTGGGGAGAGAAAAGAGGTGGTTCCTACTTACGCTTGTCAAGTAGTTTGTTTAGGCTATTTGGAATGCTTTTAAGAAATGTAATGTTTTTTAGAAATTGAATCTCTTGCTTAAAGAAAATTAATTTCTCGCTAGTGTAGACATTCCTACACGGACCTTCCTACAACATGACAAGCAAAGGAAGGCTTTGATTCGGCTCTGCAAGCCAAAAAGCGGGTGACAGATGATTCATCTGGTAATCCTGCAGCAGTGCACAAGATAGAGAGGTTTCAGGAAACCAGTGGCACCAGCAAGTTCTGAGATATCCGGCCAAGTACAATGTCAAGTACTGGGCGATACCCCCGCACTTAAACATAACTTTATGGAACACGCCCTGGAGTACAGACAGTTGTGTATTTCTTGCTTTTGAACGGCCATTAACTCTCCGTTACCTAGGGAAGCGATTTATGGGAAACAGTTTGTTTTATGGAAAAGCCTGGGATGGGTCCAATATTCTCCCCAAAGAACTGGAGTCAGCTGCTGCCTCCCGTGTAGCGAGGGAGTGGGAGGATTTTTGGAGCTTTTCCAAGGTCATGGGGTATTGGTTTTGCTACCAAGATATCGAATCTTCTGTGAATGTTTCAGTGATCAAAAGGCTTAGTCTTTGCAAAATCACTGCTAATTTATTTTTAATTTTTTATTGGTCTGAAGAAGGACAGGACCTTAGACGATGGTGTGTCTTGTCTGGCTACTGCGCTACATGTGCTACTTGAGAATCTGATTTCTAGTCTCGAGCAGTTGAGCATTTCAACTAAATTGGGTATGGTGGTTTTGAGCCTGTTGGAGAGGAGGCTCAGTTCCCACCCAGAACTGAAGTGAAGGGTGGGAAATGTTCTCCTTCACAAGTCAAGACTGTGTGAGGGTGCAAGTAAAAAGACCAAAGCGAGGAGGACTTGGGCTGGTAACCAATATTGCCTTCAATTTAGAGCCCATCGGTAATTAGAATCAGGATGCTTTTGTTTTAATGAGAGCATGGCTTTTGTTTCGCCGCTGCAGCCTGCCTGCTGTACAAATCTGGAAACAATCTGTCATTGCCCAGAGGTACGTAGGCCATAAATAAGCACCAGAATGTCACTGGTGTTAATCTGTAGAGGCAGCTCGTGCTACGGAGGGTTCACGCGAGCAGAGAAATGCTTTTCAACATTTGAAGTGGCTGTGTGTAGCACAGGTCTCTGATAAAATTGCCAGCAGGAATGTCACTGAATTTCTCCAGTGCATGGTTTTTGTTCAGCTTTTTTTAGTGTAGTATCCAGGGTGGGCTGGGTTGGATGTTTGAATTAGCTTCTAGGAAAAGACGTGGTAGTTTGGGCGCCACGATAAAAGCAGTGGTGGCAGACTGGCAAAGGCAGCTGAGCTCTGGAAACAGTGGGTATCTGGAGTGTTGTGTCACTTGTGGTTAGCTGCTCTATCACTGTATTTAAATGAAATAACTTCATTAGGTATCATTAGGTAACAGTATGTGATGTAATTTTTTTTTTCCCAGAATAAACATTTCCTGCAAACATTTGTTCAGACTTAATGCAGCTCTGTCAGGGTCCTGCAAATGGAGATAGAAATCATTTCATGTAGTTAATTAAATGATGATATTAGCATCTGTATGAGTGAATTTACCCAGTGGCCTTAAATCAAGAGGAGTGTTCTAGTTCTCTATTTATTCTAAGTGGAGCATTCAGGAAGGGAGGTGGACTATGTGGGAGAGCAGGAGTACGTGAGCCAGGAGGGCAGGGAAGGACTGACTGTACGTGTTTATTCCCCAGTCCCTGATCTCTTTGCTTCCCCTCTCTTCTCTGATTAGCATCTCTTGTGATTTTTGAAGGAGCTTTAGAAAGTAACCAGTATTTTCCTAAGGAAGTTTGCTGGAAATCTGACATGGTTGCTCTCAAAATGTGAACTGTCATTCATTTAAAAGAGGTCTACTCAAAGGACATCGTTGTGTCTGCACTGTGAGAAAAGAAGTGGTCACATTAGTTAAAGTGCTGGTAAAAATAAGCTAATTAGAACTGGCAGCCAAGCTTGATCTTTTTTCCCTTACAGGTTTGTATTTTGATTTGGCTTATGTTGATACAGCTTTTGATAGCTCTACTATTAAACTGCAAGACAGTATGTTTCTAATTAAAAATGTACCCTTGAACAGTCAGCATCTCTGAGCAGAAGTGTACTGACATCTCCTAGAACACAGGAGCATCTCAACATGATATGCTGACAGTTCTCTTAACTATGAGGGATGACAGAAAAATCTTGCTTAGAGAGGATTTATTTGGAAAATTCTTAGGCTCAGGAGGCACTTTGTACCTGGGTCAGTCAGAGAGGTACAGAGGACATCAGTGTTTTGAACAGGGAAGTTGTTTTCAAATGCTTTGAGAACAAGTGAAGGCTGTGAAAGACTGATGTGTTAATGCAATAGCTGAGTCAGAGTAACACTAAGAGTCAAAGCTTTTGTTATTAATACTGTCCCCAGTTGTGTGATTGGACTTGACACCTCTGGGACTATTCCAGAATCCCTTGGTAACCTGCAAACGAGGTGGTTGAGCTTCAGAAAGCTACTTCTGAGCTGCTTCATGAGCAGCTACTTCTAGTTGGTTAGTTCAATCTCCTGTTTTTTTCTTATCAGAAAGCTACTTCTGAGCTGCTTCATGAGCAGCTACTTCTAGTTGGTTAGTTCAATCTCCTGTTTTTTTCTTATATTCCCATTTTTCTTTTCTCCAAATCTCAGCACTCGGGTTTTTTTTTTTTTTCCGCTTTATCTTGAAGAAATCTTGTTAAGTTGAAACTGTACAAAGCAATCCGCTTAGATGTCTTCATTAAATTGCCAGGGGCTGTTTGCATATTGCATCAGCCCTTTTATTGCAAAAGGGTTTGCTCGCTCCCCGTGGGATCAAACGGGGAAGACCGGCCCTATCTGCTGGGGCTCCTTCTCCACTCCAGAGGCAGCAGAGACACCCGTAACCTCCGCGGTGTTGACGAGTCAAACGCTGCGGATGCACAACCTGGTTTCCTCTGACAGGAGGTGGTTGTGTATTGTGGAGGGACTGAGGTTGCAACATAACTAGGAATATTAAATCAACCATGTCATTCTTGGATCGTCAACAGTGGAAATATATTCAATTTTGGAGCCTTTTTTTTTTTAAAAAAAAAAGTCTCATCCTTGTGACTGAAATTGCTGACACTTATAAACTGGAGGTCTTGCATTTCTAAAGCTCAAATCTGAGCTGCAGAGAAGGGGGGTTTTTGCAATGAAAGTTTCAAAAGGAAGGAAAAGACCAAGTAAACACGGGGAAAATGGGTTGGTGTTCAGCACTGCTTTAGAGCTCAAGAAATATGAAATCCATGTTACAAACTGAAGTGGTCAAATCTTACGTTAGAAATAAGTTACCAGGTAGGATAAGAGATCTTGCATTTTATGAAAATGTTTATTTAAAGCACAGTGTGAAGATTATGCTGGAGAGGAAGCCACAGAAGACATGAAGGTGAGGATGAAGTGCGAAATGCTCCTCTTGGCAGAGGACAGGGTCTTTTCTGCAGCTACTGAAACAACCCATTCTCCTAGTTAGTGTGTCAGGAAGCGTTTATAAGGATGTTTCACTACTTTCTTTTGCGTCTCTCTTCTAAAGACTTCAGAGTGTACATTGATTAATTATTGTTCTTGTCCTTTCAGTTGACAAGGGCAAGCAGCGGAGTGCCAACAGCTCCTGCATCCAGGCCCAAGCCCCCACGGACGCGCATTCGCCCGGCACAAAACCGGCTGAGCTGACCCAGTACAAAACAAAATGTGAGGCCCAAAGTGGAATCATCCTGCAGCTGAAGAAGTTCCTGACGTGCAGCAACCAGAAGTTCGAAGCGTTAACAGTTGTGATCCAGCACCTGCAGTCCGAGGTAAAAACTCACAGCTGGTCAATTGTGGCTTTAATTTGTTGAAATCTTCCAACAAGGGCAGCTTGAAATATTAATATACTGGTACATGAGAAGACATGAAGGTGAGGATGAAGTGTGAAATGCTCCTCTTGGCAGAGGACAGGGTCTTTTCTGCAGCTACTGAAACAACCCATTCTCCTAGTTAGTGTGTCAGGAAGCGTTTATAAGGATGTTTCACTACTTTCTTTTGCGTCTCTCTTCTAAAGACTTCAGAGTGTACATTGATTAATTATTGTTTTTGTCTTTTCAGTTGACAAGGGCAAGCAGCGGAGTGCCAACAGCTCCTGCATCCAGGCCCAAGCCCCCACGGACGTGCATTCGCCCGGCACAAAACCGGCTGAGCTGACCCAGTACAAAACAAAATGTGAGGCCCAAAGTGGAATCATCCTGCAGCTGAAGAAGTTCCTGACGTGCAGCAACCAGAAGTTCGAAGCGTTAACAGTTGTGATCCAGCACCTGCAGTCCGAGGTAAAAACTCACAGCTGGTCAATTGTGGCTTTAATTTGTTGAAATCTTCCAACAAGGGCAGCTTGAAATATTAATATACTGGTACATGACATCTGTGTTTCCATTATGATGATTTCTGGTTTCCTGGGGAGGTAGCAGCAAACCTGCTCCAGGCATCAGTTGGATGGGAACAAATAAAAACCCTGACACTGAGTTTTATGGCCTCTTCGCAGCTTCCCGTCCTTTTTAGAAGAGAAGTTTTTAAACGTTTGTAGTCAGAGGGCCCTTCAGGGTTGAGTACTTTTCTAAGTATGTACTTTTCCAAGTATATCCTTCAAGCTCTGCCCTTGTAGGAAAGATTAGTTTCAGCAGATAATCTGCGTGACCTCGCTTTGTTATCTGACATTGGACAGAAGAGTATGGAGGGGGTAGATGTGGTTTTGAGCTATTCAGACTAAAGTATGAGTTATAACAGTTGTATTTATTGAATCCTGCATTATTGGTGGCGTCTTAAAATTATCAACATTTCATTTAAAAATATGTTTAGAAATGCATTTGGAATTTAGAGTGGAATTAATCTGGTGTGGTTTAGTTTATTTGTTCTAGTCTGTTTGACATACGTAATGACCTAATCAGTTTGACATTACACTAGAAACTTTCAGTTGACAAGGGCAAGCAGCGGAGTGCCAACAGCTCCTGCATCCAGGCCCAAGCCCCCACGGACGTGCATTCGCCCGGCACAAAACCGGCTGAGCTGACCCAGTACAAAACAAAATGTGAGGCCCAAAGTGGAATCATCCTGCAGCTGAAGAAGTTCCTGACGTGCAGCAACCAGAAGTTTGAAGCGTTAACAGTTGTGATCCAGCACCTGCAGTCCGAGGTAAAAACTCACAGCTGGTCAATTGTGGCTTTAATTTGTTGAAATCTTCCAACAAGGGCTTCTTGAAATATTAATATACCGGTACATAACATCTGTGTTTCCATTATGATGATTTCTGGTTTCCTGGGGAGGTAGCAGCAAACCTGCTCCAGGCATCAGTTGGATGGGAACAAATAAAAACCCTGACACTGAGTTTTATGGCCTCTTCGCAGCTTCCCGTCCTTTTTAGAAGAGAAGTTTTTAAACGTTTGTAGTCAGAGGGCCCTTCAGGGTTGAGTACTTTTCTAAGTATGTACTTTTCCAAGTATATCCTTCAAGCTCTGCCCTTGTAGGAAAGATTAGTTTCAGCAGATAATCTGCGTGACCTCGCTTTGTTATCTGACATTGGACAGAAGAGTATGGAGGGGGTAGATGTGGTTTTGAGCTATTCAGACTAAAGTATGAGTTATAACAGTTGTATTTATCCTGCATTATTGGTGGTGTCTTAAAATTATCAACATTTCATTTAAAAATATGTTTAGAAATGCATTTGGAATTTAGAGTGGAATTAATCTGGTGTGGTTTAGTTTATTTGTTCTAGTCTGTTTGACATACGTAATGACCTAATCAGTTTGATATTACGCTAGAAACTTTGGGCAGCTCTTAAAACATTGGAGAGAAGAAAAATCTGAAGTCGAGGAAATTATAACAGTTTTGGACTTACACTGCAACTGTTGATGCAGTATTTAATAGCAATTCCTCTTGCATTTATAACTCATGTTCCAAGATTGGTATCAATTTTATTTCAGCTGTTCTGGTATGCGGTGATCTTATAGACCAGTATACAAAAAAAGCACTGAGTTGTCTCGGTGTGCTGCCAGAAATGTAATGTTCTCTTCTTGTGGGATAATATCTGCTCACTCTCATTTCATCTAAAAATACTGCATTTAAGTCCAAGCCTGGCTCATCTCCGTAAGAGCGGTGCCTCCGAGCCAGTTTTGTGGGTTTGCTTTGGTTGGGTTTTTAAACTCTTGATTGGAACACCTTTCTCTGCTAAGGGACTGCTTTCAGATCTTCAAAGCAATTTGATACAGGATTTCTGAATGTCTGTCATCTAATGTGAAATTGTGAAATTTATATGTGAAATTCTCACTGCTAAACTTCTGTGCAACCTTCTAATTACTGTATAATAATCACCTTGATTTTTTTGGGTAACTTTTATAATTGAGTGTCTTGGCCAAGATTCTTCTCTCAAATGTTGCGTATTGCAACTTTTTAAAATTCAGGAATACTTTATCAATGTCATATTTAATGAGAAGCCTGTTACACCCACCTGTTTCTTCCAGGTTGTGTTGCAGGTCATTTAGTTTAAACATGGTATTTTTCTTCCTTGTTTTGTTTTTAGAAAATTTGGAATAGTTATTAAAGAGAAAAAAAAGGTGTTAGAGGGACAAGAACTGTGTGGAGGACTGTAATAATTTTACTCCTCCTTCCTCTTCATTATTCTTTTGTAGATGGAAGGAAAAAAGAAATTTTATTTCAGTCAAATTGTATAAAATTGGTAATTTTGGGGAGTTAAGCCTAAGCACATGATACTGGGCTAAATACGGCATATTGATGTAGTTTTCATAACAGTTATTGGTATTGAGGTTGTTCTGTCCTTTCCCGGGATAAGACAATACTTGCTGAAGAGTTCTTGTGTGGTACTGTAGGGGTGAGAAGGGCCATGGTGGTGTGAGGAGTATTCAGAACCTGGTAGTTTGCTGGGGGAAAACATCCTGTAGGATTTCTGTGGTTTAGGGAACATTGTGAGGAGTTGTTTTGGTTTTGTGGTTTGTTTTGGTTTTGTTTCTTGGTTTGGGGTTTTTTACGTTCTGGTGAGGTGTGGAGTCTGCTATAGCTAACTTTAATTTCAACTGGCCATAAGTTTATTTTTCTGAAGTATCTCTTGGGGACCCCTTTGACGTAGTTTTCAAACTCTTTGGGTGAACTTGGGGAGAAACTTGAAGTTAGGCTTTAGCTCAAAAGGCAGGGGCTTAACTACTGCAGAGCCAACTGTGAAAGTAGCTTCAGCTTTTCTAGTTTAAAAAAAATAATAAATAGTGCGTAGCTGATGACATGAAGAACAAAGCTGTGCTTCCATTCCTCACAGCAGAGCGAGTGTGGAGTGACACGAAGCAGTGTAAGCTGATGGAACAGCTTGGTGTAACCAAAGGAGGGTCCTGCTCTGGACTCCTGGTGCTGGTCTCTCTCCACAGAAGGCTGGTTCAGGTTCCAGCTACCAGAAAGCTCACCTAGCTGGACAGAGGGCTTTTCTCTGCCACATCAGCAAAGTGGACTGTCCTAATGTGTGGGCAGAGCCAATATGACAGTGAGATGGGGTCAAGGACAGGCTGCCTGGCCAAATGGAGACAAGAGCTGGAGCGAGCCCTTGGGTCGCTTGGAGCCCAGCCCCAGCCTCTCCTGCTGCCTGGCAAAGCTGGAGTTACTGGGAGGTGATTCAGCTGTTGTGTGGGTTTGGGTTTGCTTTCCCTTTTTAAATTTTTTTACGTATATATATATATTTTCCAACCCCCACCCCCCCCCAAGAGGTCCCAATGCGTTTCTGCACAAAAGTTTAAAGTTGCTTCTTGTGAGCTGGTTTGAAGTGGGAGAGCTGAGAAGGAGACTGGGACTCGCTGGCAATGACTTCTGTCCCAAAACTCAGCCAGCCCATGGGGAGTGGAGGTGGGAGGCTGGGGTGGGAGGGTTAGGGGAGGTTGAGCAATGCTGCTGTGCTGGTCCTGGCCCAGCAGGGATCTCTCACAGAACCCTTGCCTGAGCTCAAACCTGTTTGTTGCGAGCGTTATCTCAGAGCTGTCAATATTAATATCTGGCTCTGATAACACCTTCACGCTTGAGCTGAAAGGGTTTGTACAGGGAATTTCTGTGCTTGTTACTGCCTTTACCAAGAGTCTTCTGAACTTAGAAATCCTAAAAACCCCATTTCTACCTGGTGAGAGCAACTTTTGCATTGGGTTAATGCCAGATGGAAACCCTCTTGGCATCCAGGAACAGGTTGCCCAGAGAAGCTGTGGCTGCCCCATCCCTGGAGGTGTTCAAGGCCAGGCTGGATGGGGCTTGGAGCAACCTGGTCTGGTGGAAGGTGTCCCTGCCCAGGGCAGGGGGTTGGAACTTGATGAACCCTTCCAACTCTAACTGTTCTATGACCCAGAATCCTTGATGGCAGTGAACGGTGTGCCTGGTGAGAACACCCCCCTGTACCGAGTTGTCCCGTTGTCAGACAGCTGTGTGTGCACCAGCCATGTTAGAAACTCGGGTCACACTGAGAGCTAATCACAAAAGCAAGTTGAGTCTTTCTAGACTACTGCCCTCCCCCTGGTCCCCTGGTAGTTCCAGTGACTTCATAACTATTTTCCTGTTTTTAAGCTGAGGGGAGAAAGGACAAGTGGCAGTGCAGAGGAAATGGTGAAATCAGCCTGTGACAATAAGTGCGTGCAGTGCCAAGGAAAGCCATCTCCCGTTAACCTTGTACTGCATTAACCTCTGAAATCCACACCAACGCATTGAACTTGGTCTTTTAACTTCCCTTGGTATGCATTTCACCTGTCAATTTTGAATTTATTTCTTGTCCCTTCAGTAACAGACACATTCA